GAGTTGTTCTCCCCATTATAGCTAGGTGTTTTGTGTTTGGTCGAGGGGGAGGGTTTCTTACTTGATTGTTCGACCTCTCAACGAGAGCACCAAATGATGGATAGTGTACCCGGGGGTAGCTTATCCGAGGGGTTATTACGAGGAATAACTAGAGAGAAGTCAGAGCAAGTAAGTAGAGAGAGAGAGAGTATATTAGAAAATGTATTCAGCGTTTTCAGCGTGGTTTACAACGGGGAAATGGGGTGCTATTTATAGTAGTAATAAATGCCAGACAGGGACACGTGTCAAGCGTCCATTGGCCGAGAGGTCACCTCAACTGGTTGGCGCTGGCAATCGCATGTGGCCGCATTTAATGCGGCTGTTGGATGTGACGTCGTACTTGGTACAGTGATCTATACGCATGTGGAGCGGATATCATGTCGGAAAAGGTGCCCTCGACTGTTGATGGCTAGCAGAGGGCTCTGTACACCGGGGACCCCCTTAGTGCCGAGGGCTCTAGGTGCCGAGGGCATGGTTTTCGCCGTTTTGTCCCAGTAATATTGTGTTCCTGATTTGACCCTCCTGTGAGATTCAGAGCCCTCGACCAGAGGGCCGAAGGCACCCCTGGTGCGCATTGTGGGCCGCTTGGTACTCTAGGCGCTGTGATTTGGGCCTGTTGTGCTTTCTGGGCCTGTTGGGCCTTTATTGGAGTAGTAGGAGTCTGTGGACCGGAGGTTCCCGGGCCATATACTCCATCACCTAGAACATACCAGACTGGAAAGGTGAAGCATTGGACGAGGCCTGGAGTCATCGACGCACGTCGTGGTCTCAATGATTTTTTTAATAAAAAGGAAATTTTATTAATGTAAAAAGGCGAAGGAAATTACATAAATAATATGAAAATTAAAAAGAGTGGGGGTGGGTAGTGAATAACAACATAACTGAGAAAAAAAACAAGAAAGAGATAGGCGCCCAACCCAAAAAATAAACAAAATCCTCCCTAGAAAAAGCAATGAGTTCCCTCAGGTCATCCGAAATCAAGATGTTATTGGGATCTTATCCTCATGTAATGCGATCATTGGTGCTTTTTCTTGTATATCTTCATTTGAGAGTTGAGATTTTGTGTGGGCAAGCAGTTTTCCTTCATCACCAAATGAGCCTTGCTACTAATGTCATGATTTGTGTCAGAGTCCCTTAAGTCCTCAATCACTAAAATGGGTGTTCTCCTCTCACTCTCCAAAGCGTGACCAAGAAAATCATCTCTCGAATATGACAAATCTTTCTTGGCAAAACATCCCCATTCTAATGCCCTATAAAGCACTGATTACTCAGAGAGTCACAATTTTCCAAACACGAGGCAACGATTCTTTCAAATTCTTTTATACTCCCTCCGTCCCAATTTGATTTGCAAAATTTCCTATTTTGGTTATCCTAAAATGATTTTCCATTTTCAATTTTAGGTATGTAAATAAGAATAAAGTGACAAATCTACCCTTACTTTTACTTTTTCCCCATTAACTTAAAGACGTCTACTTTTAGGAAGATGGACAAAAGTGTAAAAAGCAAACATCATTTATTGTCATTCCTTAATCCTTGTGTCGATCAAAGTTTGCAATTCAATTCGGGACGGAGGGAAGTAAGAAAATGAGAGAGCCCGTCCACCCATTAGTCATAGTTGTTGGACAATGTTCCCACCGATCAGAGATTGCTCAATATCAGCTTGAAGCAGTAATTCAGAAATACTCCCTCCGTCCCTAAAAAGATTGCCAAGTTTGACCGACACGTAGAATAATAAAGTAAAAACTGTGTGGTAGATATTTGTGCAGAGGAGAGAGAAACAACAGAAACCACACATTTATTGATTAAAAGGGAAAGTGTCAAAGTTATGGGGACAACCAAAAAAGGAAAGTTGGCAAAGTTATAAGGGACGGAGGGAGTAGAATTCTTCCGATGGAAAACATCATCATTCGTCCAAGGAATAAAGAGACTCTGCCAAACCTGAAGGAATCCCACAAGAATCGTGTTTTATCGTTGTAGGCGCAAGTACCCGCATCAATTTTACCGCCCTTGTAAGCCCTACTAGAAAGCATTTAATCCCCATTCCATTCCATCTTTCCCAAGTAACCGCCAGATGAAGGGGATGGATGGCATGAGCCATGGTGCCATTGCTGGAAACTCCCTCTCTTGTCGCTGCTGCCGGATATGAGTATTGTTCTCGCTTCGCTCCTAATGCGAGTTCAACGTCGGATCTGCATGCCAATGAGAAAGAATCGAAGCCGAGATTCTAGGCTACACGTCGAACCTCGCAGGGGTCTAAGCATAGCCGGTTGCTGCTCTACCGGAGAAACGAGTTGCGAACGTCGCTACTGCGATGAAGGTCGCCGCTCCTGCTCACCAAACCCGATCTCTCATTTCTTCCCTCAGATGTGGAATCTTAGATTGGGATCTGAAAATTCCCTCTATTTCCCTTTCCATTTTTTGGGAGATTTGTTCATTTGAGTTTTGTATTCCGTAAAATTTTTTGAACGAATTTCACTTGAATTCTGTTCCAATTTATTCTGTAAAAGTTTTGTATTTCCCTTTGCAAAATGATGGTGATCAATTATATGGAGTGGAGTGATTGCTTCCTTTTATTCTCTCCCGTGGTTTCTTCCTATTTTCTCTCCACTTTCGATTCATTTTGGGAAAATTTTACGGTGCAGTAGTGTTAGAGAATGTTTTGGTGCATTCCAGGCGTGGCACCATCTCATTTGATGACTTAATCCAACTCATCATGTTCTTCTTAAAAATATGTTTATTGCAAGTACATCCTTCCCTAATCCCATCCAATTTGCCGAGACGAAAGAAAGAACACAGGGCGAGAGACAAGAGCTCCCCGTTCAAGTCGCATCTGCGAAGTCGAAAAAACCAGGGCCAGAGAAACGAAAGGTCGCACATATTTTCCCGGTAGCGGCTCAATCCAAAATTCAAGGTAAGTGCCCTCATCATCTCTATTTTATTCACTTTTTTAATGTTCATTTCATAAGTTTTTAGTGTTCACTTTAAATATCATTGCTCATTTGGTAAGTTATGTATACTCATTTGGTACTTGTGTTATGCTCATTTTAAAATGTTATATCAATGCATATTTCAAAAGTATCATATTACATTAGATTGACGTAAAAATTGATTATAGATACTAGATCACAAATACCATGATACTCAATTGCAGAGTTCCAATGTTCAATAGAGGAAAGTTGATACTCAATGAAAATGTCTTGATGCTCAATTAAATGTCTTAAAAATAAGTCAGATGTTCAATAGAGCATCTGACCTATTTTATTGAGTATTAGGTGGCTAACAATGAGAATCAATCATCCACTATTGACATGAAAATCACGGTTTTGATGAATGAGCATTAATGAATTTTTAATGAGCATCAGACCTATTATGTTGAGCATTAGGAGTCTAGTATTCAAAATCTTGATCTCTACTCCGTAACTTCTAATTCACTTTCTTTTTGTTATTTTTTCTTTAATAAAAATTTATTACATTATATTTATAATCAACTCCTATGAATTTCAATATGTGAATCTAATTTAAAAAAGTATTTTTAAAAAGCATTGATATGACATTTACAAAATGAGCATATGATCACTACCAAATGACATTTACAAAATGAGCATAAAATGAGCACTTTGTATTAGAAATTTTCCTTTGTAAAGTTTCTTAGAATAGTCGACTGACAGAAGACCTCCTAACAAAAGACCTTTGGCCCTCTGCTTCAGACAGAAGACCTCGGGGTCTCTGTTAGCTCTTACATGGACAGAAACCCTCAAGACTCTCTGATAGCTTTCTCCAACAGAAGTGCTCAGACCTTTTCTGATCGACTCTCTACTGAAGACACCAGAAGGCCTGACACTTAGAGAATTTTGCCAAGCCGGTGAAACCAACTGAAGATTCCTTCAACGGCTAGGAGTCTTGAACGGAAAAGATACAGTACGCGCATTAAATGCACATTTAATGCATCCCGTACCCTGTAGAGTAAATGTAGATGATTGGCCGCAATGTCAGGATAGCTTTATCCCAAAATAGTAACCCGCCAACTTTGCTGGGTCCCACTGGTCAGGTCAACTGCTCGCACATTTAATGCAGTTGTCCTCCTCCTCCTCCAACGGGAAGACAGCCTCAGTATAAAAGATACACTACGAAGAACAACCGAACAACTTTGCTACAAAATTGCGAATACAGAAACATTCAAACATTCAAACGCACAAGCCTCCTTGAGATTAAATCTTCATCATCTTCTACAAGAGAAGGCAGACGTTGGAAAGATTATCTACTCACATCTTTTCATTTCCAACTCAAGCAAAGTTCCATTTGTTCATCAACACTTCAAGCACTTCAACAAATACATCTTTTGTGACGAAGCAAGTTGGAGGAACCCCTGTTTCATCTGGAAACTCTTCTCTAACGAGAAAGAAGTCCAAGTAACTGGAGCAGTGAAGTGGTGATACTTCCGGGAAGCTCAGCGAAAGGACCAGTCTTAAAGGAAGCCAGGAAGTGCATCCCAGGAGACATCTACACTTGAAGAAGACGTGGAGAGCTTCTTAAGTGCTAGGACTAAGGCATTGTAATCGGTCGTTTTTACAAGCTTAGTGGAACAGTGGATTGGAGGAACGAGTTGTTCCTTGAACCACTATAAAAATCCCTGGTGTCATTTACTTACTACATTTATTTATCGCACTTAGTTAGAACTGATTAACTCCAAAGACTTGGTCTCTGTGTTCAGCAGAACGTGTCTTGTGAGTTAACAGAAGGCCTACTGCCTTTGCTTCTCTGAGGCTAATCGAACAGAATCCCTACCAGAACCCCATCCGCCGTCAGTCTGTTCTGTCAACAGAACAGGCTATTCTGTTAAATCTGGTACTTAGCTTGAAAAGTTAAAAACCAGTACAGTCTATTCACCCCCCTCTAGACTGTACCCTGTATAACCGGGACCAACAATCGTTGACTAATTTTGAGTTTAAGATGAATAATAACAATAACTAAGGCTTCGGGAATCACTTAAATGCTTTAATAGGGTTGAATATTAGTTTTTTACCAATAATTATGAATACGATGTCGCTAATATATTCTCAACTCCGGTTAAGGCAGTGAGAGCGTGGGTTTCGTAACGTGTAAGTCCCGTTATGGCTTACATTCATCTACCGAAAACCCCGTTGAATATCAAGACATCACACCCGTATCATATAAGACCGGATATATTTCTATTCTCGGTACTATATATGTTTATCCTTTAATGTTCATAGTTTAGACTTCAACGTTAATTGCAAGTATAAACTAAATTTAACATACTTCTATGTTGTACACCATAGTCATAAACAATCAATATATAAAGGATAAATTACAATTTATTGGTTTAGAACTTTTATCAAACACCTAGTGGGCATAGAAGTTCATCCCTAGCCTTAGCTAAGAAATTAGCCTCTAATGCTCATATTAATCAAAATTACAATACTTTGAATGTAGAAGAAAATGTAAATATAAAGGAAATGATCTTCCACACCTCAAGAACACCATGAAGAACAAAGAAAAACTATAAAAGCTAGTTATGAACTAATGAATTAAATTGAGATTGAATGATGAATTTGGGATGAATTGGATGGTTTATATAGGCTTGAAAATGATCTTTGATGATCTATTCATGATCCTCAATCAACTTGGGACGAAATTTCCGAGCCATACCTTCCAAATATCTTCAAATCAACTCACAATATTCTAGCACGTCGTCTGGTTTTCTGCAGATTTGGGGTAACTGGCGCCGGTTTAGGATTAACCGGCGCCGGTTGTGTTTCGGTAATTCCGGCGACACAATTTTTACAAGCAACCGACGCCGGTTTGGTGCAATTCTGGCGTCGGTTTTGTCCTTGGATTTTGGGGATGTTCCTCTACAAATTTGGACATGCTTCCTTCACCAAAGTTGTAGATAATAAATCTTCTATCCACCAAAACTTGAATGACGTGATTTTATTCATTCAATCAAAAGATATGGATAAAACACTGAGATGTATGCATCCTGAAATCCCACCAGCAACATCTGACTTTATTAGTTGATTGAGTCTTGATCCTTTCATATTTGGGCCATGACGTCTTCATAACATTTGTACCTTATTGAGTTAACATTCACATGAAATTCGTATCGAGTGATTTAGAGTTCTCTACAATAAATTATACTCGAATTATGGGCAGAACGTCATCCTCTTGGTCCAAAAACCTCTTTATCGCAATGTTTTATGCTTTAGCTCTCATTCTGAAGGTATTTGCCCGATTTCTCTTGCTTTCTTCAACAAATACTTATAAATACTTATGTTAAAAAAAATTAAATATAACGTCTTGTAAGGAATATTTGTAATTAGATTTTGATGATGCTAGATTGATTAGGACTTTAGAGTACCCCTCTTTAGACTTAATGTATTAGAATTTTCCTTTGTAAATTCTTTAGTATAATCAACTAGCAGAAGACCTCCAGAGCAGAAGGCCTACTTAGCAGAAGGCCTCCAGAGCAGAAGACCCTTGTTAAGGCATTGGTCGAACAGAGGACCTTTTGTTTTCTGCTTAAGAACAGAAGCCCTCAGGGTCTCTGTTAGCCTTTACTCTGACAGAAACCCTCCTGGTTCTCTGTTGGATATCTTCTCAACAGAAGTGCTCCAGACCTTCTCTGATCAACTCTCTGCTAAAGACATCAGAAGGCCTGACACTTAGAAGAATTCCACCAAGCCGGGAAACCAACTGAAAGATTCCTTCAACGGCTAGGAGTCTTGAACGGAAAAGCTACAGTGCGCGCATTAAATGCACATTTAATGCCCCCCCATACTCCGTAGAGTAATTGCAGATGATTGGCCACAATGTCAGGATTACTTTATCCCAAAATAGTAACCCGCCAACTTTACCGGGTCCTACTGGTCAAGTTAACTGCTCGCTCATTTAATGCAGTTGTCCTCCTTCTCCTCCAACGGGAAGACAACCTCAGTATAAAAGATACACTACGGAGAACAACCGGATAACTTTGCTAACCTTTGCTACAACTCTGCATATACAAGAAATTCAAACGCTACAAAGCAAAAAGCCTCCTTGAGATTAAAACTTCATCATCTTCTACAAGAGAAGGCAGAAGTTGGAAAAATCCTTATTTCCAACTCAAGCAAAGTTCCAAGTGTTCTTCAACTCTTCAAGCTCATTACTTACAAATCCCTTGTAACGAAGCAAGTTGGAGGAACCCCTGTTCTAAATAGAACCTCTTCTTTCACAAGAAGGACGTCCAAGTACCTGGAGCTGTGAAGTGGTGATACTTCTGGGAAAGCTCAGTGAAAGGACCAGTCTTAGGGAAGCCAGAAGTGCATCCAAGAAGACATCTAAACTTGAAGAAGACGTGGAGAGCTTCTTAAGTGATAGTGCTAAGGCATTGTAAACGAAAGTTTTTACGAGCTTAGTGGAACAGTGGATTAGAGGAATAAGTTGTTCCTTGAACCACTATAAAAGCCCTGGTGTCATTTACTTACTGCTTTTCATTCATAGTTTTTATTTGAACTGTTTAACTCCAAAGACTTGGTATCTGTGTTCAGCAGAACTGGTCTTGTGAGTTAACAGAAGGCCTACTGCCTTTGCTTCTCTGAGGCTATTAACAGAACTCCCTACCAGAACCCCATCCGCTGCCAATCTGTTCTGCCAACAGAACAGGTTATCCTGTTAAATCTGGTACTTAGCTTGAAAAAGTTAAAAACCGATACAGTCTATTCACCCCCCCTCTAGACTGTATCCAGTACAACCGGGACCAACAAGTGGTATCAGAGCCTCCTTGTTCTAATAATCTCTTAGGTTATTTGCTGAACAAAGATCCACTTGTTTTTCTGTTTTATCTCATTTTTATCTGATATAATGGATCACTCCTTGTCCAAGAATCTTATGTTTTCAGATCTTAAGTTTGATGACTGGAGGATCCGGATGAAGGCACATCTCTGTGCTCTTAATGATGAGATGTGGGAAGTACTTGACATAGGACCCTTCACAAGCTTCCAGAAGGTCAACCCTGAACATGCTATTGACAACACTAGACCTCAGATGATCAATAAGGCCAAATCTGAGTGGACAACAGAAGAAAGAAGGAAGTACAATCTGGACAACATTGCTAAGGACATTCTTTACAAGTCCATCGAAGATAGGTACTTCAACAGAATAAAGAAGTGCAAAACAGCAAAGGAAATCTGGGATACTCTTGAGCTCATTGGAGCTGGTGATGAACAAGAGAAGGACAACAAGCTAACAATAGCCAACAAGAAGTTTGATGACTTCAAACTTCTCCCTGGTGAAAGCATCTCCAAGATGTATGACAGGCTCCTCACTCTCACTAGAGAAATCTCTGAGCTTGGCATGGAACTCACCATCAAGGAGATCAACCTGAAGGTGTTGAGGGGACTGCCCTCTGCATGGAAGATGAAGGTGGTTGCTGTCCAAGCCAGCAAGGATGTGAAGACTTATCCCACTGATAAGCTCATTTCAGATCTCAAAGCTCATGAGTTTGAAATGATTGAAGAAAAGGAAGATGTACCAGAAGAGAGGACCACTACAGCCCTCACTGCCAGCACATCAAAGGTAAATGATTTTGACCCTTCAGTACTTTTATCTGACGAATATATGGCTGCTTTTGCTAGGAGATTCAAGAAGTTCATGAAGAATCCTAAAGATGGAAGAAGTCCATCATTCAGCAGAAAGCCATTCCAGAAGGTCAAAACAACCAGAAAGCAGTGGTGAGCTTCTCTGTTACAACTGCAGACAACCTGGACATTTCAAAGCAGAATGTCCACATCCAAGAGTGTCCAAGAAACAAGGGCATGATGGAGAAAAGAAGAAGTATGAAGACAACTCCAGAAGGAGAAAAACACTTGTGACAGAACAGCTCGAGAAAGACCCTCTGTCAGAGACAGAATCCAGTTCTGACTCAGATTCTGATGAGGCCTTGATACTGAGACAGAAGACCTATGCCTCATGGCTCATTCTGATGATGAGGTAACCTCTACTTCTGCATCTAGTTTTTCTTCAGTAGGCTTAGCTTTTGAATCTGATTCAATGTCAGAATTTTGGGAAGAGTTTAAGGCCATCCAAGCCACTTATTCCTCGGTCACAGAAGAAAACAGTAAGTTGAAGGTTGAGATTCTTGACTTGAAAAAGGAGGCTGAGATCAAAATCAATCTTCTAATTAAGGAAAGAGATCAGCTGGAGACTGAAAATGTTTCTCTTCTCAAGAGAATAAGAGAAATAGAGCCTCTTGAGATTAAGTACAAAGCTTACCAGAAGGCCCAGTCTTCCATGGAAAAGATTGTACTTGATCAACAGATTGGCACTGGCTTTGGTCTTGGTTATGGCTCAACAGAATCAGGTGAGCCTTCTGTAATGCCTAACACCAGTGTTGCTAAGGCAGATAAGGTCATAGTGCCACTGATTTCTAGCCCCATTTGTCAAGCTGGTGTATCTGGCACCATGGTTGTTCATGAGGAAGTTAGACCAGAAAAGAGAAAGATAAAAGTTCAACAGAAACCCTTTTTGAAAAAAAATGAACATGACAGAAAACCTAACAACAGAAAAGGTTTTCAAGATAACAAAAATAAGAAACCATTCATTGACAGACAACCTCATGACAATCGTGCCAGAAATGATCACCAGAAGGGCAAATATCAAGAGAGAGTTAACTTTAGGCAGAAGAGGTTGGCTGGTCAACTTCAGAAGCCCAAAGCTAACCGACTCTCTGCTCTTGATAGTATATGAGACTTCTTTCCAACAAAGAAAGTTATGCAAAAGTATGTAAACAGGAAACATGACCCTCACAAGCATCTGCCCAAAGTGAATCACACTTCAGTTTACTATAACTACCAGGTGGACAATGGGTACCACCCACCAAGGTTTCACCTGATGAGACCAAAATGGTACCAACTACCCAGACTCCATGACCCCCCAGGACCCAACATTGCTTGGGTACCGAAATCTTTCTTTTGATCTTGCAGGAACTGTGTGCTGTAGCTATCTCAGAGTAAGAATGGTTTATTGATAGTGGATGCTCCAGGCACATGACAGGTGACAGAAGTTGCCTAACTGAGTTCCAGAAATGCAAAGGACCCAGAGTTACCTTTGGAGGTAATCACAAAGAAGGTCAAACAAAAGGAAGAGGAAAGCTGATCAAGAACCAGATAGTCATTGATGATGTCTCATATGTCAAAGGACTGAAGTTCAACTTGCTGAGTGCTAGCCAATTCTGTGACAAAGGCTACACTATTGAATTCACAAAGGACTTCTGCTATGTGAAGCATGAGACAACAAAAGAAGTGGTTCTTACAGCATCAAGGAAGAAGAACATCTATGTGGTTGATTGGAACACTGCAAAGGATGGAGTTTGCCAGATAGCCAAGGGAGATTCAAAACTAAGCTGGGACTGGCACAAGAAGCTTAGCCATTTGAACTTCAAAACAATCAACAAACTGGCAAGAGAACACATAGTTGATGGACTGCCACACATAGTCTACAAGAAAGAGACCCTCTGCAGTGCATGCCAGAAGGGAAAGCAACAAAAGAACTCCTTCAAACCCATTGCTGGAGATCTTTCTACAAGCCCTTTAAATCTGATCCACATGGATTTATTTGGACCTGTTGAAACTCCAAGCGTTGGTGGCAAGAAATATACCCTAGTCATGGTTGATGACTATTCCAGATATACATGGACTATCTTTCTATCAAAGAAAAATGAAACTCTTCAGAAGTTGCCATCTCTGTTAAAGCAACTTCAGACTGAGAAGAACCTGAAGGTTAAGACAATCAGGTCTGACAGAGGAACTGAATTTGTCAACCAAGTCATAAAGGACTTCTGTGATCAAAATGGAACCTTTCATCAACTCTCTGCCGCCAGAACCCCTCAACAGAATGGCGTAGCAGAAAGGAGGAACAGAACTTTAAAAGAAGCTGCAAGAACAATGATTGCAGAATCAGGTCTACCTATGAGATATTGGGCTGAAGCAATCAACACTGCATGCTATACTCAGAACAGAAGCATGATCAACAAGAATCACCAGAAGACCCCTTATGAACTCTGGAAAGGAAGAAAACCCAACATCAGTTACTTTCATGTGTTTGGATGCAAGTGCTACATTCTTAACAATGGAAAGGAGCATCTGAAAGTCTTTCAAGAGAAAGCTGATGAAGGTATCTTTATAGGCTATTCAAACACCAGTAAAGCCTATATAGTACTCAACAGAAGGACTCTACATGTTGAAGAGTCTATACATGTGAAGTTTGATGAAAGCATCTCTGTTAATGATGTAACAGAGATCCTCAAGGAAGTCAGCATAGAAGACAGAACACCAGACCCAACAGAAGAGGTGACAGATAACCCTGCATTTCCAACTCCTGCACCTAACCCCCTTCTGTTGAATGAAGATGAAGACTCAGAAGATGAAGAACAAGAAAGAACCAGACAGCAACTGACAGAACCTGATCTGACATGGTTAAGAGACCACCCCTAATCAAGTTATTGGGCATATCAGAAGTGGTGTGCAGACCAGATCAGCATCAACAAGGAGAGAAGCAATGCTTGCCTGCTATATATCTCAGATGGAACCCATGACTGTGGAAGAAGCTCTTGCAGACTCAGATTGGATCAATGCTATGCAAGAAGAGCTTACTCAATTTGAAAGGAACAAAGTATGGGAACTTGTTCCTAGGCCAAAGCACCAGAATGTCATTGGAACCAAATGGGTATTCAAGAACAAAGCTGATGAAGATGGCAACATTGTAAGGAACAAAGCAAGGCTGGTAGCTAAAGGTTATTGCCAAGAAGAAAGAATAGATTTTGATGAGACATTTGCACCAGTTGCCAGACTGGAAGCCATCAGAATATTTCTAGCCTATGCTGCTTACAACAACATCAAGGTCTACCAGATGGATGTCAAGAGTGCTTTTCTGAATGGAGATCTTGAAGAAGAAGTTTATGTGGAACAACCACCAGGTTTTGTCATTCCTACTCATTTCTCCTGTGTCTACAAGCTTAAAAAGGCCCTTTATGGTCTTAAGCAAGCTCCCAGAGCATGGTATGACACATTTTCCCTTTTCCTAGTGAACCATGGGTTTACTAAAGGAAAGGTTGACAAAACTCTATTTCAAATCTCTGTTGCTAATCATATTTTGTTAGTACAAATATATGTTGATGATATTATATTTGGTAGTACTAATCCAGAACTGTGCAAGAAATTCTCTCAAGTAATGCAGAGCCAATTTGAAATGAGTATGATGGGAGAAATCAGCTACTTCCTAGGATTACAAGTCAAACAAGTTCCAGAAGGAATCTTTATCAATCAAGGGAAGTATACCAGAGACCTGATCAAGAAGTTTGGAGTGGAAGGCAAATCCTTAGTGAAGATTCCCATGAACACCTCACAAGGAGTTGGTCCTGATGATGAAGGAAAGGATGTCGATGCAACAACATACAGAGGAATCATAGGATCTCTGCTGTATCTGACTGCAAGCAGACCAGACATCTCATTCTCTGTTGGAATCTGTGCAGATACCAATCAAAGCCCAAGGAGAGCCATCTTAGTGTTGCAAAGAGAATCATCAGATATATCAAAGGAAATCCAAATGCAGGCCTATGGTATCCAAAGGGAGGTAACTTTGAACTAATTGGTTACTCTGACTCAGATTTTGCAGGTTGCAGATTAGACAGGAAGAGCACCTCTGGTCATTGCCAAATGCTAGGAGGAAGGCTTGTTTCCTGGTTTAGCAAAAAGCAGAATTCAATCTCAACAAGTACAACAGAAGCTGAGTACATTGCAGATCGGAGTTGATGTGCTCAGTTACTCTGGATGAAGCAACAGCTGAAGGATTATGGCATTCAAGCAAAGGAGATCAAATTGCTGTGTGACAACACCAGTGCCATTGCCATCACTCAGAATCCAGTTCTTCACTCCAGGACAAAGCACATTGAGATCAGACATCACTTCATCAGAGATCATGTTGAAAAGAAGCACATTTGCATGGAGCATGTGCTAACAGAAGATCAGCTTGCAGACATTCTGACAAAGCCTCTTCCTGAGGCTACATTCAACAAACTGAGAGAGGAATTGGGGATGATGGATGAAATCCCTAGAGAAAGTTGAAAAGGAAGGCCCTCTGTTGCAAAATCTCTGCTAACAGAATATCTGTTGCAGAACCCCTTCTGTTAACCCCCTTCTGTTCTCTATCCTGGCAGAACACCTCAGCAACAGAAACCCTCTCTTCCTTCCTTCAGAAAGCCTCTTCTTTTATCTAACAGAAAAGGTTGTGGACTTAGCAAAATTCTGAAAACCGGGTGACCTAGTAAATTATTAAAGGTCTTTTACCCTTTTACCCTTAAAACGGTATACAGCCGCATAATATTTACTGCGCCCCTTTTTACATTTATTGGTACCTCGGAACCGCAAATTATCTCAATCGTCCATTAACCCGTACCCATATATTCCCCCCATTTCAACCTAAATCGCTACTGCTTCCATTACTCTCAAGCTTTTGAACTCTTATCTCTCTAAATCTCTCAACTGCTATAGAGTTCGGCTCCAATTATTATTATTAATCAATTAAGGGTTTTAGAGAGAGAAGCTCTGGCGATTATCTTCATCGCATGAACGACACTACGGTGGCTCAGCCGCCGGGAGGCGGTCGAGCATGGGAGGGGAAGTCTTTTGCAGACGTGGTTGCTAATCGAAGTGCATCAATTTCAAAGAAGATCCCTACAAGACACAAAGGCATGCCTGCGATCTCGTTTTCAGAAGGTGAAATTCAATCTCTTGCTGATAAGCATAAGAGAGCTCTTGTAGGTTATTTTTACAAAGGCAAACCGAGTCTTCTGGTTCTTAGAAAGGCTTTTGAGATAATAGGGTTTAAAGGTCCTTTTCATCGGGGAACTTTAGATCCTAAACATGTATTGATTCGGTTTGATCTGGAGGAGGATTTTATTCGTTGTTGGAATCGCCAATCTTGGTTGATTAAAGGTAATATTATGCGTGTTACTAAATGGACTCCGGCCTTTCGTCCTAATGTTGAATCACCTATTGTGCCGGTTTGGATTGCTATGGAAGGGTTACCTATTCACCTACAAGACAAACAAGCTCTGTTTGAGATTGCCAATCTTGTAGGTAGGCCCTTAAAGTTAGATGCTGCTACTGCTTCCCTAGCTAAGCCAGCAGTTGCAAGAATCTATGTGGAATTGGACCTCACGAAGGAGATGCCCAATAAGGTGTGGATTAATTGTGGGGTGAATGGGTTCTCACAGTCTATTGTCTATGGGAACATGCCAGAGTACTGTCAGGGTTGTTTTCACTTGGGCCACTCAGAATCTAAATGTCCCAAAAAAGAAGGAGGTGGGACAATGGAGCAACACAAACAATGGTTGCCTAAAACAGGGAAGGAACAAATACAAAAAAAATTCACAAGACAGGAAAAAGGAAAGGCCATAATTAATGAGACAAATACAAATTTAGCTCTAACAACATCATTCAAGCCATTATCTTCCAAAACAGCCATTGAAGTTATCAGTTCTGAATCAGAGGAGGAGGTGATTGTTCTTGAACCAGGTGACCAACCTACAGTTGACATCAAAACTGCTGTTAGAGTCTTATTACAAAAGGATGTTCCAGGCATTAGTATTACCAATACTAAGGAGATTATACAAAGCAAGGATGACAATCATATTAAAGATATGGAAACTATCTTTGATATATATGCAGTGGAACCCAGAGAGTGTTACTCAGAAGGGGAGGAAGATATTCCTGTTAAGCCAGATGTGTTCATGGAGTCATGGACAGAAATATGTTCCAAAATTGAAGGGTTAGTTATACAAAAGGAGCAGGAGAGAGCTCAGCTTGAAGAAAATGCAGAGGGAATACACAATCATAAGGAAAAAGGAGTTAATGAAGGGGGGCAGCTCATGCAATCTGTCATTCAACAAAACACAGACAACATCACATCAAATAAGAGGTTTACTAGAAGTTCTGCAAGGGGAGAGGGACCTCCAAATTCTAAATGAATTGCATCATATGGAATGCTAGGGGTCTGGAATCCTCCAGTACCAGACTTTATTCCCTAGTTCAGCAATGGAGGGTGAAGCTGTTAATTGTTATTGAACCTATTATTGATAGAAGTAAAATGGAGTTATACAAAAGCATATTGGGTTTCAGTGATGCTATTTCTTCTTCTATTAACAAAATTTGGGTTTTCTGGGATTCTTCAACTTTGGGAATCTCTGATTTCACTTGGCATAATCAGTATGTTCATTTCAAGGTGATTAGTAATGAGTTTGATGGATGGGTTACTGGTGTTTATGGGAAACACTCATATTACACTAGAAGAGAATTATGGGATGCCCTAGGAACTATTTCTTTATCTATAACCAAGCCATGGATGGTGGGAGGTGACTTCAATGAAATAGCAGTCTATAATGAACATCAAGGGAATTCAATGCCTATTATCAGAGGTATTAATGAATTTTCAGATTGTATTTCTGCTTGTAATTTGATTGATCTTCCTTATGATGGTCCTAAGTTTACTTGGTCTGGAGTTAGAGCAAATGGTAGAGTTTGGAAAAGGCTGGACAGAGTGCTTTTTAACACTCAGTTTCTTAACAAGTTTGATTCTATCAAGATCTCCTTATTAAACAAGACTCCCTCTGATCATAATCCTATGCTTATTCAAATGTCCAATATGAGACAGTCTGGTCCCAGAAGCTTTAAATTTCAGAACATGTGGTTTCAAAACAAGGACTTTCTTGATTTTGTTAAAACTAAGTGGGATTCAGTGAAAACAGGTGGTGGTATGAGAGGTTTAAGTACTAAGCTTCAGCAACTTAAAAAGGAGCTTAGGATATGGAACAAAGAGGTCTTTGGAAACATTTTTGAAGATATCAAGTTATGTGAAAAGGAGGTGTTAGAATCAGAAAGAAGATTTGAAGAAGACCCAGGTGAGTCAAATAGAGAAGCTCTGTTTCATAAAAAGGGGCTTCTAATACAAAAGTACAAGTTAGAAAAGAAATTTTGGAAACAAAAAGCTCATATAAACTGGCTTAAGGAAGGGGACAACAATTCACATTTCTTTCACTCCTATGTTAAAATCAGACAAAGGAAACAGAGTATTACCTCTATTAAAAAAGCTGATGGGAGCACCATCACTTCTATGTCTGACATTGGAGAAGAGGCTGTAAGATTTTTTTCTGAGCTATACACTGCAAAAAACTCAGTTAATCATGAAGAAGTGCTTCAGTATATTCCACAGATTATATGCCAGGAAGACAACAACAGTATTATGATCTTGCCTACCCTTAATGAAGTCAAAACAGCTGTTTGGGATCTTAATCAAAATAGTGCTCCGGGGCCAGATGGTTTTAATGGAAAATTTTTCAAGAAGTGTTGGGCTATTGTGGGAATGGATGTTACAAGAGCAGTGCAGGAGTTTTTCATGGGCATTCCTATTCCTAAGAGCATGTCTAGTGCTTTGATTGTCTTAATTCCAAAAGTGGATAACCCTTCTAGTTTCAGTGAATTTAGACCTATCTGTCTATCAAACTTTATTAGCAAAATCTGCACTAAAGTGTTGGTTAATAGATTAAGAAGCATTCTACCTAAAATTATCTCCAAAGAACAGGCTGGTTTCATGGCTGGTAGAGATATTGCTGATCAAATCTTGATTGCTCAGGAGTTGATTCACAGTATTGACAAAAAAACCAGGGGAAATAATTTGGTGATTAAACTTGACATGGCAAAGGCGTTTGATAAGGTCTCTTGGCAGTTTTTAAGTGCTATTCTTTTGAAATTTGGTTTTTGCAGCCAATTTGTTAACCTGGTTATGAATAACCTAAGATCAACCTTTCTATCTATTCTTGTTAATGGATTTCCTCAAGGGTTTTTCAAGCCTTCCAGGGGTGTTAAACAAGGGGACCCCCTCTCCCCTTTTCTCTTTATTATAGCTGCAGAGGCTTTTTCTAGGGGCCTTAAGGGTTTAATGGAGGCTGGCAAAGTCAAACAGTTTTGGATGGGCAATCATGGGTATCCTATTTCACATTTGAGTTTTGCTGATGACCTTTTGATCTTTACTAATGGGGACTCTAGATCTGTATCCAATTTTAAGGAATTCCTGCTCACCTACCAACAAGCAAGTGGACAGGAAATTAATTTTGAAAAAAGTTCCTTTGTGTGTGGGCATTCTACTCCAGCAAGGCAGATGAAGATAAAGGACATGCTTGGTATGAGGTTAGCTACTTTGCCTATTAAATATCTGGGAGTTAATCTCCATAAAGGTATTAACAGGTTCCATCTTTGTGGGAACATTATACAACAGTTTGAGAATAAGCTTACACCCTGGAAGCAAAAAAATCTTTCTCAAGGGGGAAGGTTAATTCTTATAAAACATGTACTTAACTCTATTCCCCTACACACTTTGGCAGTGGACAACTTACCTAAAAAAGTCATTTCTGTCCTTAATAGAAAAATGGCTTCATTTTTTTGGGGTTCTTCCAATCACAAGAACAAATATCATTGGATCAAATGGTCCAATCTTTGCTATCCTACAGGGGAAGGTGGGTTGGGCATTAGGGCCCTGGAAGACATTCAAAAGGTTTTTTCTATAAAACTTTGGTGGAAGTGGCAAACTGAAGACTCACTCTGGACACATTTTATTAAAGCCAGATATAACAGAGAAGGAAACATGATACCTAAAGTGACTGATTCATCAATTTGGAGGAGAATCTGCTCCATTCATGAGCAGGCTTCCAGTCTATGCACTTATGATGGATCTGGTACCCTACAATGGAATGAGGAAGATGATGGCCAATTCTCTTTTAAAACTGCATATGAAGAAGTTAGAGATCTTTCATACAATCATGAAGTTTACCAGAATATCTGGGATTCTAAACAGGAGCTGAAAATAAAACTTATTCAGTGGAAAGTGGTTAAAGGGATTATTCCTACATCTGACAAGTTAGAAAGATTCAACAATATTCTGAAACCCTCCATATGTCCCCTATGCAGAAGTAATAGTGATACCTTGAATCACATCTTATTTAAATGCCCGGTGGTTAAGAAGATTTGGGAGTATTTTTGGGGAATTTTGGGTCTTCATATTAATTCATCTGCAGATTTTAATCCTTTGAGATTGAAGTGGGAAGCAAATGGAAATTCTAGTTTGCTTCAAGTGTTTAGGAGAAATATTACAGGTATCATCCTATGGTTTATTTGGAAAAATTATTCATCACTGGTTTGGGGATCTAATATACATCAGATCTCAGCTCATCAAATTATCATCCAAATCAAGATTTATACTTAGTCATGGGCGGCTACATTAACAGACCTAAAAATTAGGCGTATTGAAAATATTTTGTTCGAAGAGCAGTTGATACCAAAATACTTGAAGATAAACAAGTTTAGACCTCGGATTGTTAAATGGCAGAAAGCGAAGAAAAAATTGAAGCTAAATGTAGATGCTAGATACTTAGCTTCTATGGCATCAGGAGGAGCGATTCTTCGTGATAAGGAAGGAACGATGATTCAGGCGATTAGTCTTCCTTTGCAGGCTAACTCGGCGCTGGAGGCAGAGCTGAAAGCTATTCACCTGGCAGTTAAATGGGCAACGGACGAAGGCTATGAGGACATCTATGTTGAATCGGATTCGTCTCTAGCTCTGGAATATGTTGCAGGTAAACCGACGAGAAGATGGAGAGGTTTGATTCTGGAAATCTCAGACATCGCTTTTAGGAAAGGGGTATGGTTCGGGCATACTCTGAGGGAAGGGGATTGGGTTGCACACCATCTGGCCCAAGTGGATTCCAATAAAAGCTACTGCAGCCCATATCAACTGCCCACTAGTGCTAAACAGGCTTATTGGATGGATTTTTTTGGCATTCCCTCTATTCGTATTTAATTATCAATGTATTTTTCTGAGAGGCCTTGGTCTGATCCTCCTCTCTTGTATCACTCTTTTCTCAATAAAATCCTGGTAAATGACACCCGGCATTTACCCCACTGATTTTGGTGGTTTGCCTTCTGGGTTAAAAAAAAAAAAATCTCTCAACTGCTAAAAACGTCTATGGCTTTCCTGAGCTTCAATGATCTTTCCAAGGAACAAAAAGCAACCCTGCTCAAGAATGTGTTGACAGGGATGAAGTGCGAACTGGATGTTCTACCCAGATTTGCTGAGAAAAAGGAGAGAATGACCAATATCATTGACGGGCTGACAGAGTGTCAACTAAGCAAGGTCATCACCTATGCTTATGAAGTCTACAGCAACATCGACACTGTTGAGTTCTATCTCAACGCGTCCTTCAAGGACGAAACCATCACCTCCAGTGTCCAAGGAGAAGAAACACTGGTTGATGCTGACGTCATCAACAAGGTTTTTGACATTCAACTAGAGGAAGGCAGGGCCTCTCTATTTGATTTGGAGGAAGCTGACATCACTGTCCTTGAATTTAAGAGGAATTACTGCAGAAAAGGGGAAGAAGTGGAGAAGGTAAACATTAAGAAAAATCTGCTCAAGAAGGACTTTGAGCTGCTCATCAACATTTTCCACAAATGTGTGTGGTGCAAATTTACCTCTACTGATGATGTCACTACTGCAAATGCCAAGGCTCTGTATGCAATACATCATGGGGTGAATGTCAACTGGGGTCAGGTAATGGTTCGATCCCTGATTGAGTTCATCAAAAAGAAGAACCCCAAGACAAGTCTTTATTCTGGGAAGTTAGGGCATGGGCTGCTCATCTCAGAACTACTTCTAAATCAAGGTGTTACCTTGAGGAAGGCCACACCTCTGGATCACACAAAGGTAATCTTCCTATCTGCCTCTCCAAATAGGGAAATAGCCATCAAGGCAGAGCTGAAGAGACAGCTTCAGCTTGACAATAAAAGACAACAAGGAGACAAGGTGCAGAAACCCCTCTCTGAAGCACCTTCTGTGGAGAAGAAGAAGAAGAAGACCAAGAAAACAGAAGTGGTTGCTCCTCCTCCACCCATGAAGGCTGGACAGAAAAGGAAGAGGACCACCAAGACCAAAAAGAAGGTTGCTAAACCTTTGGTCACCATGTCTGAAAAGGTGGCAGACATTCAGGGGGAACCAGAGAACCCCACCTCTGTTACCACTCCTGAACAGAATAGGGTGCCAACCTCAACAGAGCACCCCAGTACAGGCAAAGAAGAGTATCTGTCTTTGCTGGATAGACAGTTTGCTCGAGTTCTTGAATGGAGAAGATGGAGAATGGGACCTTCTTTGATTTCTATGAGCCTGAAGAAGAGGCAATCCTGAAGTGGGTAGGCACTGATGATGGGTAGGCACTGATGATGTCTCCAAGTGCTTTGCCCTAAACTTCCTCCATTCTGTCCTTGAGAAGAATAAGGCAGGTTACAAAGTAAAGGATGTCCTCATATCCTCACCCTCTGAGGAGACAGTCAAACCACTGGAAGAAGGAGAGATAGAAGAATTTGAAGAATGGCTTTTTGCCAAGAAGGCAACAGAATCTGTTCAACCAAACCTCAACCCAGGAGAACCTTCTGTACCTAAGAAAGAAGGGCAAGCTATGTTGGAACTCATCAAGGAATGGAGGACTTCTTTGAATGAAGAAAATGTATTTGAGGTAATCTCTCCAACCCCTTCTGTTCATATCTTAACAGAACCCCAAGTCCCTTCACCTCTTATTACAACAGAAACCCCTCCAACAGAAAACCCTCAACCCCAATCCCCAGAACAGAAAACCCCCACCTCTCCTCACTCATCCAATAAGAAGATCAAATCACCTTGCAAAGACCTCATCCAATTCAGAAATCGCTCCCCTTCACCTCCTCCATCTCCTCCTCAACAGAATGCCTCCCATCAACAAAACACCCCTTCTCCCCAACCTTCATCACAACACCAGCACTCCATCCCACAACAGCAATCCTCTTCCACTCAAAACTCATCCTCTCCCTCACCTGCAGCAAGTCCTCTTCCACCTGCAGCAAATTCCCCCAGAACATCTCTACACTCTGCTGCATCTACACCCAGGAGACAGCCTCTTCACCGCATTCTATCCTCCGAAAGTGATAACAATGGCTTCTTGTCATCTTCCCTTGCTGGAGACCTCACTTCAAAACGCCAACCTACACCTCCCAGAGAACCTTCTCACCAGAAACCCTCTCTGCAACAGACCAGAAGGCCTCCCATGCACAGGTCCAGGGGACTAGGCATGCCAGAGACTGAAGAACCTATACCTCAAATTCCCTTCAACAAGTTTGTTGAAACAGCAGAAGAATTTGGTGGGCAAGTCCTCCAAGGCATGGACAAACTCATCCAGATAAATGACAAGCACTTTGAGCACCTTGCTCATGTGAATGATAATCTCAATTCTGGGATGCAGTTTATCTCAGACCGCTTTGAAAACCTCACAAAATCCCTCCACAACTTCATGGCATCCTCCTCTGCCAGAACAGATGCACTGTCAACTGAAGTAGAAGGTATACATAAGACCCTATTCACCTTTCATCAGACTCTGATAGCTCAAGGCAAAGCAATTGAGACCATCTCCACGAATATTGAAGATCTCCAATGGGCTGATACCAAAACCAAAGAACAGCTGTTGGACATAGAGGAACTCTGCAAAGTCCACCGTGATCAAACCAGGACTCTGTTTGCTCAAGACAAAGAGAGATACCAGAAACTGGTTCTTCTTGAAGCAAGTTCCAAGGACATTGCCTCAGCTGTTCATAAACAACAAGGACTGATAGAAGGCCTTACTTCTGTCACTCAGACCTTACCAGAGGCCCTTGAGCAGATAGCCTCCTCACAGGCCTCAGAGTTCCAGAAGATCAGCATGATGCTAGAGGACCTAAATGATGCCAAAAAGGGGGAAGAGGACCCTCAACAGAATAGGCCTCGGTCCACCAGAATTCCTGCTGAAGCATCCTCTTCTGCTGAACCAATAGTAGACCCTGCTCCATACTTTGAAGCTGCTTTACAGAAAAAGAGAGCAGCCGGTGTACCTAGACCCCCATCTCCAGTGAAGAAAGGCACCAAGAAGAAGAAAATCTTCAGTTTTACTGAATGGAGATTGGGTGGATCCCAGAAAATTGACAGAGCTCAGTTTGAAGAAATGAAGACGAAAATGACTCCCACTCAACAACAGAACCTCTTTCTGGATAAAGATGGTGTTGTACGAGTCAGATATGGGGGATCCTTGGAGGACGCTGAAGAATGGTACAAGAAGAACATTGTCCCTGGCAAGACAATACATGAAGGAGTTCTCAGCTATCTGGATTGCAAGCTTTCTCCCATATGGGCATCTTATCAAAGCTCTGGCAATTTATCTCAAATCAGAGCAGAAATTAATGAAGAGCTGCTAAGGCTTCAAAGATTGGAGGAAGAAGCTCTGCAAGCAGCTAATATGGAAAATGTGTAAGAGATATTTCTGTAAAATGCATCTAATAAAATCACATCTCCGCCTTTTCACTTTGTAAGGCTTTTCCTCAATTCCTGTCTCTTTGCTTTCTGTCTTTGTTTATTTGTTTTTTGAATTATTATCTGCTATCTGAATGTACTGTACTCTTACTATTTTCCTATGCCAAGTTGCCCACCAAGATTTTAATGAAAGTTTTTAAACTTTAATTCTTTATGGTGAAGGCACTTCTCTGGAAATAGTTAAAGGGTTTTGGCATCATCAAAAAAGGGGAAATTGTAAGGAATATTTGTGATTAGATTTTGATGATGCTAGATTGATTAGGACTTTAAAGTACCCCTCTTTAGACTTAATGTATTAGAATTTTCCTTTGTAAATTCTTTAGTATAATCGACTAGCAGAAGACCTCCAGAGCAGAAGACCTACTTAGCAGAAGGCCTCCAGAACAGAAGACCCTTGTTAAGGCATTGGTCGAACAGAGGACCTTTTGTTCTCTGCTTAAGAACAGAAGCCCTCAGGGTCTCTGTTAGCCTTTACTCTGACAGAAACCCTCCTGGTTCTCTGTTGGATATCTTCTCAATAGAAGTGCTCCAGACCTTCTCTGATCAACTCTCTGCTAAAGACACCAGAAGGCCTGACACTTAGAAGAATTCCACCAAGCCGGGAAACCAACTGAAAGATTCCTTCAACGGCTAGGAGTCTTTAACGGAAAAGCTACAGTGCGCGCATTAAATGCACATTTAATGCCCCCATACTCCGTAGAGTAATTGCAGATGATTGGCCGCAATGTCAGGATTACTTTATCCCAAAATAGTAACCCGCCAACTTTACCGGGTCCTACTGGTCAAGTCAACTGCTCGCTCATTTAATGCAGTTGTCCTCCTTCTCCTCCAACGGGAAGACAACCTCAGTATAAAAGATACACTACGAAGAACAACCGGATAACTTTGCTAACCTTTGCTACAACTCTGCATATACAAGAAATTCAAACGCTACAAAGCAAAAAGCCTCCTTGAGATTAAAACTTCATCATCTTCTACAAGAGAAGGCAGAAGTTGGAAAAATCCTTATTTCCAACTCAAGCAAAGTTCCAAGTGTTCTTCAACTCTTCAAGCTCATTACTTACAAATCCCTTGTAACGAAGCAAGTTGGAGGAACCCCTGTTCTAAATAGAACCTCTTCTTTCACAAGAAGGACGTCCAAGTACCTGGAGCTGTGAAGTGGTGATACTTCTGGGAAAGCTCAGTGAAAGGACCAGTCTTAGGGAAGCCGGAAGTGCATCCAAGAAAACATCTACACTTGAAGAAGACGTGGAGAGCTTCTTAAGTGATAGGGCTAAGGCATTGTAAACGGAAGTTTTTACGAGCTTAGTGGAACAGTGGATTAGAGGAACAAGTTGTTCCTTGAACCACTATAAAAAGCCCTGGTGTCATTTACTTACTGCTTTTCATTCATAGTTTTTATTTGAACTGTTTAACTCCAAAGACTTGGTATCTGTGTTCAGCAGAACTGGTCTTGTGAGTTAACAGAAGGCCTACTGCCTTTGCTTCTCTGAGGCTATTAACAGAACTCCCTACCAGAACCCCATCCGCTGCCAGTCTGTTCTGCCAACAGAACAGGCTATCCTGTTAAATCTGGTACTTAGCTTGAAAAAGTTAAAAACTGATACAGTCTATTCACGCCCCCCCCTAAACTGTATCCAGTACAACCGGGACCAACACGTCTATCAATGGAGTTCGCTCGTCGTCGAAAGAGAGTGTGTGAGTTTGAGAGTGATGCACGAAGTGAAGATGGGGAGGGGATGCGTGAAATGAGTGCATTATATAGGCTCGAAAAAAAATTAAGTGTTAACGTCCAGTAGTGAAAATACTTCCCCCTCAACAGTTGCATTTTGAAAATAAAAACTCCCCTCAACAAATGCATATAGAAATAAGATGAAAAAATAAAATAAAATAAAATAAAATAACAAATAAAAAATAAAAAAACACACACACACACATTTCAGAGAGTTAAGGATTGATGTTCAACACTCCGAATTTAGAGATCAGAAAGTCGAACCTCTTTTAATCCAACCGCTTTGTGAATATATCAGCCAATTGAAGTTCGCAATGCTGTGATAGCAAATTGGAAGTGAGATTTCATGCTAAGCAATTATGTGTGATGGATATGGATGTGAAACCATTGTTAAAGTATCAAAGAAGAACAAATCTCTACACTATTAATCTCAAATCTGTACGATCCACCATATACATTCGCCTCCTGTCTAGAGCTTCTGAAAAACAAAACAATCTATGGCACAAACATCTCTCACATTTGAACCCACCTGCAATCAGCTCCCTTTCATCCAAAAAGCTTGTCACAGGACTCCCTGCTCTGAAAAACTCGCCCAATCATCACTGTTCTGCCTGTCATTTGGTAAGGATGACGAGATCTTCACACAAATCAAAGCAATTTCCATCCTCATCTCGTCCCCTGGAGCTACTTCATATGGATTTGTGTGGTCCGATGCGTGTGCATAGCATAAATGGACGCAAATATACTTCGGTTATCGTGATCAAAGGACGAAACAACCAACATCATCATGACATTCATCAGGACCATACAAAACTATCTATAGCAGAACGTGAAGATCATAAGGACATACAATGGGACTAAGTTCAAAAAAAGGAACTATCTAAATTCTACAAAGTTCAGGGAATTACACACCAGTTCTCTGCAGCTAAGACACCATAACAAAATGTTGTTGTAGAAAGAAGAAACATAACATTGGTGGAAGCAGCCAGAACCATGCTTATACAGTCAAAGCTCCCTCATTTCATATGGGCTGAAGCTAGCAACACTGCTTGCTTCACACAGAACAACTATCTACATATGATTTGATAAGAACCCCTATGAGATAGTATTCAAGCGACTTCCTAATATCACCTTCTTCCATCTCTTTGGTTGTAAATGCTACATCATGAATGACAGGGATGTTAGGGAAAGCTTGATCCAAATGCGAATGAAGGAATTTTCATTGGTTATTTGACAAATTCAAAGGCATACAGAGTGTACATAAAGGATAAAAGAACTATCATGGAGATCATTAATGTCAGCTTCTATGAAATGACGGATATGACAACTGAACACTTCCAATATGAACAACAATCACAGGAAATTAAAAGGCTCCATCATCGTCTGAAACATGAGAACGGGTAGATGAGTCAAGAACGGGTGAGCACGTGATACTGGAATCAATATTTGAACACTTTTACAGTCAGCCACGTGCATCACCAACTACAAACACAGAAACCACTAAAACCTACCTGTTGCCTTCTCCCATAGCAGAAGAAATACATACTCCTGATCAGAACAATGATGAACCTTCCCAAGAAGAAGCTAAACACCATGATCCACCTACCCCACACACTAAACAACCTAAATCACAAGATCCTCCTGAATATGCTGATTTTGATCAACCAATCATAACTCCGTTGCCTCTCCCTCATGAGAGAAAATGGACGAGAGCACATTCGTCTGAACTGATTATTGGTGGTCCATCAAAAGGAGTTAGCACCGGAACCGCATCATCCACCTCTTCTCAGTCAGAAAGAACCTACAAAGATGGCAGAAGCACTGGCTGATCCGGACTGGATAGTTGCAATGCAGGGAGAAATGAATCAATTTGATAGATTGAAAGTTTGCACCCCTGGTGCTGAGGACTTACAGGAAAACAATTATAGGCACCAAATGAGTTTTCAAGAATAAGAAGGATGAATATGGTGTTATCATCGAGAATAAGGCCCACCTGGTTGCAAAAGGTTACAATCAACGAGAAGGAATCGACTATGATGAAACCTTTACATCAGTGGGGAGGATTGAGACCATGAGATTGTTTCTAGAATATGCTGCACACAAAAGCTTCACCGTCTATCAGATGGATGTTAAGACTGCATTTTTGAATGAAGACATGAAGGAAAAGGTCTATGTTGCACAACCAGATGGGGTTGTCGATCAAGAATGACCTAATCATGTTTATAAGATGAGAAAAGCCCTGTTGATCAAGAACGACCTAATCATGTTGCACAACCAGATGGGTTCGTATAAAGCATTGTCAGATTTTCTCGTTGAATCGAGCTTCTCAAAAGGAAATATAGATCCAACTCTCTTCATCAAAAGTCATAAAGGCGACATCATGTTGATACAAATTTATGTTGGCGACATTATCTTTGTTTCGTCAAATTCAAACTTATATAAAAAGTTCAGCAATCTGATGTGCACCACGTTCGAGATGAGTATGATGGAAGAGTTAAACTTCTTTCAATTCTTGGGCTACAGATTAGACAAATGCCAGATGGAATCTTCATAAACTAGTCCAAGTATATCCACAATATACTTTGCTCAAAAGATTCAAAGTGGGCAACAAGCCAACGATGAAAACCCCCATGTCTCCCTCAAACAAGCTGACTCAGACCTCTATGGGAAACCAGTCGAGGCAACCAATTGTTGTGCTATCATCGGATCCTTGTCGTATCTCATATCTAGTAGACTGAACATTGTGTTTGCAACCCGCCTGTGTGCTCACTTTCAAGCAAATCCAATGGAATCACATCTGACTGTTGTAAAGAGGATGCTAAGATATCTCAAAGGAATAATAAATCTTGGCCTTTGGTATCCCAAGAACTCAGGGTTTGACATGGTGGGATATTCAGATGATGATTTCGCATGCTGCATAATGGACAAGAAAAGTATGTCCTGAGGTGCTCAAGTTTTAGGTGATAAGCTGGTATGTTGGTCAATTTCTACAACTGAGGTAGAATATGTCACGGCTGCTAGCTGTTATTCACAAACATTATGGATGAGGACACAACTAAGAGACTATGGCTTCACCTTCTCCCATATTCCAATATAGACTGATTCACAAAGCGTCATAGCCATCACGTGCAATCTAGTTCATCATACCTGAACAAAGCATATCGATTTGCGGTATCATTTTTATGAAGGATCACATTGAGAAGGGAACCGTGGACACATACTTTGTGTCTACGGAATTACAACTTGCTGATATTTTCACAAAGACGCAGGATGAAAAGAGATTCAACTTTTTTATCTCTGAATCGGGAATGTTGAACATCAAATCTTAAAACTCTGCATCGTGCACGCGCGTTCATTTCTCATTTTTTTCATTTTTCATTTTTTATTTTGTAATCTTTGCATTTCATTTTTTTAAATTTTCTTTTTTTTTTCTTTTTTTTTTTCATCCTATTATTTTTATTTTATTTTATTTTATTTTATTTCATGCATAAATTGAGGGGGAGTTTCTCATTTTAAAAGTGTATAAATCGAGGGGGAGCGGAGCATTTCAGGACACTTGAGACTTTAAAATTTTTCTGCCCCTATAAAACCTGAACTTCACGCACCTCCCCTCTCTACACTCTCACTTTGTGCACAATTCTTTCGAACTCCCTAAGAGGCAAAGAAAATTTTCTCTCATTCCTCTTCGCTCATCCCTAAGGTTTACATCTGAATTTCCTTCATGTATACTTGGTTTCTGTTATGATTATTGTTAGTACCCAATTTTGATAGATTTTGATGATGCCACTATACTTTGCACTAGTACATTGTGTCTAATTTAATTCGAGTATTAGTGTTCAAATTATTTATAAGTGACAAAATAAATGTACAATTTTTGAGACTAATGAAATATTACCGGAAAAATAAAAATGCAATAAGGTAATTTTTACTTACCTTAATAGGATATTTAGATCCTACCGGCAAATATTTTATTTGACTCAAAGGTTAATTAAATGTCACAAACTTAAGATGCTCGAATATCATATATGAATGTGTATGATTGGAAGACAAAACTGCTTAACATTAAATGTTGGGAGGGTACATGGACCTACCAACTGGACGCACACCATGCCGCGGCCTAATCTTTGGAGACAAGGTGACCGCCCCAATAAAAGCTCCTACACAAGAAGACGAAAGTACAAATTTGTCATTGGCAGACCTTCAACGCACAAGATTAATCCATCCTAACCAACGGATGAGATTAATCAACTGGAGTACCCTATAAATATAGGCTGAAACGAAAATTTCTAACCAAGCTTGAGCATCCTAAGTAGAGAAATATTTCCATTGAGCATTCAAGAGCTAACTAGCAAAAGAGAAAATGTGAATCTATACTTTACTCTCTGCTTAGACTCATGCTTCACTAAACTTCTTAGTCACAAGTATTCGTTGCTAAATCCTAGAAGTTTAGTTCCTAGTTAGAGGTTAGAACTTTCTTGAAACAAATCACAAATTGTTGTAAACACTTAGGAGAACAGTTGTTCGGATCCTAAAGTGTGGTTAGATAGATAGAGTACCTTTTGATCCCCACTGGATCATTTGAGAAAAGTATAGGGACTGAGTACCTTTGAGTGGTGTTATACTCATTGTGAAAAACCTTCAATCTAGGCCTAAGTGTTGTAAAGGCTAGATTGACACTAAGTGTATTTGGCTTAATATTTTAGTGGAAATCCACCTGAAAGAGGTTGGGACTAGACGTATGAGGATTAAACCACCTCTGAACCAGGATATACTGTGTGTTGATTTATTTTCAGTCAACAAAGCACACACCAAACACTTCTCACAAAAGATTGTAGTTTGCCAGCATCATCCTAAGCAGTAGTCTTAATTGACCCTACTGCTTATCCTACTGCTTAATAGCTCACTTTCTTTGAGACAATCTTTCCACAAGAGTCTTGCACTATCACCACTAAAAGGTCTGTTCCATCAAGTCTCAGGAAATCAACTTAAAGCATAGCAGTTGCCTCAGCAGTCCCTTGGTGACTACCCAACAACTGAGCCCACTACTCATACAAAAGTATTTCCTTTAACATCTCAACTTCACCAGACCTTCACAATTCTATCACCAAGGAGTCTGTTCAAACTAATTTCTGAAACTCAAGCTGTAACCTAGCAGGTGCCTCAGCAGTTTCCTCATCACCACTCAACTGCCGAGACCACTACTCCAACAAAACTCCCAGTTACTAGTACTTAAGCACATCTTCAGAAATCCCTCATCACCCTAAGCAATATTCTATAATCAATCTTCCCATACCTTTACTTTCACTTAAGCAGGTACCTCAGCAGTTCCCTGGTAACTACCCAACTGCTGAGACCACTGCTCTCATTAAGATTGATTATCAATCCATATCATTACATAATCATAAAGCCTCTTTCATTCTGAGAAAGATTCTGCTTGCACTTGCACCATACACTCAGTGTTTCACTAGCAGTTGCCGCAGCAGTTCCCTGCCCTCCAGTCAACTGCCAAGCCAACTGCTCACTATTTAAAGTCCAAATATCACCCAAGTCAGAAAAGTGTTATACATTAAACATCTAGAGGTTAAAGACTTCCGTTGTGCATCTATAAATCTCCCAAAATATTTTAGATCAACTCATCTAGAAGGGAAAAGTTCTTAAAGTTGAAAAAGCTTTGAAAGTCTATTCACCCCCTCTAGACTTTTACCTCTATCCGGGACCATCAATTATTGAACAAGTACACTTTCCAGCCAACACAAATGATGAACAAGTTTCTTATACGCGAAATTACTAGGCACAAACCTCCATGCGTGAACTGAGCTCATGCGTGAACATGGTTCATGCGCGAACCAGGTTCATGTGCAAACCAGGTTCATGTTCGAACCTTGTGTGTGAGCGAACCGAGGTGATGCACGAACTTGTTTCATGCGCTAACTAAGTACTTAAATGCGCGAACCTATTGAAGAGCGAACTGTGACTTAGCGATTTTTTTCAAAACTCATCCATACTCTTGCACTAACATCGCTATCATTTTCAGATCTAGTGGCAGAACTTGCACCTATCGAGACCATCTACCGTGTACGCAACTAGTACCCAATCAAGAAGAACAACTGCAAACTTGACCCAACCGTCTTCTCTTGCCAAGATGAGGTCATAGTAGCATTCTGAAAGGGCATAAGATTTGGAAGGCCCTGAATAAAACAGCAGAAGTATCAGTGGTTTATCTCCAACAATTTTGGGGAACGCTGAACAAAGGTAGAGATGCCTCTGGTACCTCTTCACAAGTTTCTTTGATGATATAATAGAATGGTTCTTGAAGTTTAGGTGGGAGAGACGCCTATGCCAGAGACTGTTCTGTCCAGAGGAAGTTTTGGACAGTAAGCAGATGGAAGAAGTTGATTGTACGCTTTTCAGATCAATGGTGTATAGGTTTGATATCCTGGTACACGTTAATAATGTTCTCCCAAAGTTGTCCATCACGCAACATTGTTTGGATTTGAACTTCACTTCCATCCCTCCATCACAGAATTGGTCAATGCTTAAGAGATTGTGCTTAAGGCCTTTCACGAGTGAGACAACCTTAATTGTGACATTTGCGCAGATCACATCTCCATATCCAAGCATTGGAGATGAGGCATTGTTTCCAAATCTGACGTTCCATCGTAGCATTATGTGAAGTTGCATGTGTTGAGGGGGAGATTTTTTTTTCAAAATTATTTTTTTCCAAAGAGGGGGGGGGGGGGATAATGAGTGTGTGTTTTATTTATTTTTCATGCATCATCTGAGGGGGAGTTTTATATGAACAGAAGAAAGTGTAAATAAAACAAGCGTGTGCCTTAATTTTATTTCTTTTTCGCATAAGCTCGGCCAAAATGTTCTCGCATAACTCTGGGCCGGAAATTTTCTCGTATACTCTGGCCTTGGAAAACTTTTCTCGCATATATAAGAGTTCAAAAATACGTTTCTCGCATCTTACTTCACTTTCTCAAAATTTTTGAACTCAAATGCTTTGCAATCCTTTCGTCTTCCTCCCTCCTCTTAAACATTTTCGGAGGTAGTATATCTGTTATCGATTTATATGCAAAAAGTTATTTTCGATTTTCATTAGCAAGTAAACTTTTCAATGATGAATTCGAGAAAACATCATGAGATTGTTCGAAAAATCAATTCTCGAATGTTGGGGTTCGAGAAAGTGTTTAAATCAATTTGAAATCATTATGTATTGTGAATTTTCGCAGGTATTGATTTTACAGGTGTCATGGCGACTTCGAGAAACCTATTTTCAAAGTGAAAATATCGAGAAAAATTCTCGACGTTTCAACTTCGAGAAAATTTCTTGAAGTTAAACTTTGAGAAAGTTTCTCGGAGTTTAAATTTCGAGAAAATTTTTTGCAGTTTAAACTTCGAGAAAATTTATCGATGTTTAAACTTCGATAAAATTTCTCTCAGTTTAAACTTCGAGAATATTTCTCGATGTTTAAACTCCGAGAAAATTTCTCGATGTTTAAACTTCGAGAAAATTTCTCGATGTATAAACCTTGAGAAAATTTCTCGATATTTAAACTTAGAAGTTCAACCTTTGCAAAATATTTTGAAAAGCCCTCTGAATAAATTCCAAATGCAGATCTTCTAACCCAAACGTGTACAGATCATCATGTAAGGAACACAAGATCAAACTCAACTCTACCGTTAGCTCTACCCGTCCAACCAGTGGACACCTATACTGGACATCAACTTCCAGTTGGATATGAAGACTATCAGGTGCCAAGATGAGGTGATCATTTCAATTCTCAAAGGTCACTGTCTCTGGAAGGCATTCACAAAGACAGCTTCCGTGCCAGAGATACACCTGCAACAATTTTAGGGCTGCATGAACACACAATCAAAGGACACCTCCAAGCTGATCACCAAACTCAACGACACAAGAGTGGTGCTGACACCTGCTACATTAAGGGAGATTCTACATCTGCCCACGCTCAATGACGTGCACTTTGTCGCGGTGTGCACTCAAAATAAATACAATACAACAAATATACGTAGTATATTGAAGTAAGGTTCGTATCCACAGGGAAAGGAATATTTTTCTTTTATATTGTAAGTAGTAACAAATGGGGGAATTTTAGTTGTGTTTGATTTAATTAATTAACACTAAGATGAACGACTTATGTGGTTACTTTAATAGAGATGAAGCCTTGGTTTTGTTTTTATCCACTTAATGAAATGTTCGTCGATCCCGGTTATATCTTTAACTATCTTCCTCTTGAATACTCAATCGAGGAGTATATCCAGTTCATCGAGGGTAGTTATTAATAACGAGACGTGTTCATTAATAAAACCTACTATCGAGTTAATATAGAACACACATTGTATATCAACCCGATAGTAGCAATAAAAATAAGGTGAAAATGATTGAGATTGATAACCTCAACACAAGCGGTTTATTGTTTTAATCAACATAATTAATTCCCCTTGGTTTATTAACCATGAAACACATGCATTAATAACCCAAGTTTACTACCGTAAAACGATCGAACGGTTAACAAGCGTATTCGTCGATCGATTCTAGTAATAATTAATATATGAAACAAAACTAGTTGATCCTTTAAGTAATGTTCAAAATATTAATATGAAATATGAATAGGAATTAATTAATACTCAAAGAAGAATATTAAAGAAGATGAATCTTACTATAGTTAATATAAAGGTGTTCACTAATTGTCATCTTAGTAACACTCCCCAATATTAACATAGAGGAAGAAATAACTATTACTATAACTAATGTCAAGATGTTAACTAATTGTCATCTTAGTAACACTCCCCAACATTGATATAGAAATAGTATTTAAACGAAGAATTAATATTCAAGGAAGAAAATTAAAGAGAATAACTCACAACTTACAAATTCATTAAGCTTCAAAGTAGCAAAACCAAGATTGAAGAGTTTAGCTCCTCATTTGGAGACTAAACATGATGAAAATATAAAGAAAGAACTATTGTAGACTGAGCTTAGAAGTATATGTGAATTGGTGATCTAATTGTGAAGGGAAGGAAGTGAATTTATAGGGTTCTGGGAATGCAGCTCGGGTACCCGATCGGGTATATACACGGTACCCGACCGGGTATATGTAAAACTTCAGATTCGAGGTATACTCGATCGAACTCGGCGACGATATCTTCGTCAATATGAGCACGCTCTAGCACTAATGAAGAACTACTTCAAGAAACAGAAGTGAAGACCAGCAAGACAGCACTTGATCACAAAAGGGGAGATTGTTGAAGATATTTTTATTATGATCAAGTTGTTATAATTAGTCTTGTTTTATTTTACCATTTATGCTATATATTTGTAATAAATAGAATATGCCTTTTAGGATAAGGGCCATTTATGTGTAAGACCCAAGTCCCAAGCCTTAGCCTTTTTAGGCATACTGTAAACCCTAGGCATATAAATATGTGTTAAGGAGTGCAAAACATAAGAACTTTTCGACATGCTACAGTAGCCGCACCCCTGAAACTTTTCGATATAAGAGAGATATATTTCATCTCTTCGAATACTTCAGTTCATTCTAATGAAATTTCTCTCAATCTCTATTTCTTATTTGTGCTTCCATATCTGCTACATTTCGCTATAAAAAAGGGACCAATAACCATAATAATAATAATAAGGAAGGAGAGGGGCTGCACACACCACCTCCCTTCTCTTATTAATATTTATTTATTATTCATTTTCTTTTAAAATTAAAAGGAAAATGCCAGCTTTATTTAATTCAAAATACATCCTAATTAAGTAAAATTAATCTAATTTATCTTAAGAAGGTGGATTTAGTAAGAAAGGTAAGTTCAGTCCATGATTTGTGGGACCATTTGAAATTTCCAAGAAGGTGGGTAAGGTCACCTATGAGTTGGCGCTACCTAAAGAAATGACAGATATCCATATTTTGTTTCATATTTTGAAGCTTAAAAGATACTTCGAAAGTCCAGAGCATGTTCTTGTACCTCCGCAAGTAAAGACTCAACTGAATATGACCTACGAAGAAAGACTAGTGAAAATACTTGACCGCGAGGTTAAGAGGCTAAGGAACAAGGAGATAATGTTAGTAAAGGTATTATGGAGAAACCACAAAACTGAGGAAGCAACTTGGGAACCAGAGGAAGCCATGAGGAAGCGCTACCCTGAGTTATTCTAAGTTTCGGGGACGAAACTTTTATTAGGTGGGAGGGATTGTAACGCCCAGACTTTTTATCTACTCCTTATGTGCTAAATTAATTATATATGATCATGCTATAACATATTATTTTGGGTATTATACATGTAAAGTTTAGGGATCGATATCATGTGATTATGCAGTTTAATTATGATATTTGTGTTTGAAACTTAGATGCTTGTGACATGTTTAAACGTGACACGCGACAATATCCGATGAGCAACGAAACTAAATCGCAATCATCATTTTTATTTCGGATGTAATGGTATATTAAGTTAGTTGGAGTGTTAGATAGTCTTTGGGTGGTTAAAATATATTTTAAAATGTCATCGGGGGTCTAGGGCCTAATCAGCAACAATCGGGATCAATTAAGCACCGGAAAATGACAATTTTTTGTATCGGTGGGGCCCGGACCGGCGCCGGTGGGCCCCAAACCGGTGCCGGTCTGAAACAGAATGATAATAAGTCGGTTGGATTGGGGAACCGGTGCCGATCAAGGACAAACCGGCGTCGGTCCGGGCACTTTTTCTTTGTCGGTGGAAAACACATTTTTAACGAGGATTAGCCCTTTTAACCCCAAATACGACTCTACTCATCCTTCTTTCTGTAAACTAATCCCAAACCCTTCCCAATGTGATTCAATCTCAAAGTAAACATATTTCTTCATCAAAGATCATTAATTGGTAAGAATTACACTCTACATAAAGTATTTCTTTTATATTTTGATATATAGTTCTTGTTTTTGGATTTTACAAGTGTTGATTGATTTGGGTTGATTCTAAGAAAATAAATGGACCTTAATAATAAAGTTGTTGTGGAGTTTTTGTTTATATTTGGTTAACATACAACTTTAAATTAGTTCTTGAGTATCTAGCTACCCTGAAGTTATGCCCGATTGGACGTTGGAATTTGGGAGTTTTCTTACTTTTTAGGGCCTGGTTTTGTGAACTTCCCTTTTTAGCTCATCTTTAAGTCTTAGAATTTTCTAAAACATGAATTTAAATTTGATCAAGTGTAAAATTGTGTATTAATAATTATAGTTGCTCATCGAAGAACAGTTGCTCGTGGAGGTCATACACGCACGCACACACGAGAATATACTTCACTTTAACAAGGTAAGTCATCACCACCTATACATGATAGTTCTAAATAAAGTATGGAAGTCTATCTAGTTATGAGTTGATATATTTGCTTGAATACTTCAAATTTGTGTGTTATGAGATTTTTTGAATGGTTGGTGTCATGTATTTACTTAAGGTTGGTCATGATTGTTAAACTATCGACATATTTATTGCAAATCATTCAGAATATGCGTACAAGACATGCATTGCTTTATTATGAAAAGAAGAATGAAAATAGAGTTATAATCGGACAACAAAGGATGAATAACATTCTCATGTAGCCGTGCCTGACCACCAAGTAACTACCTGAGTTGAGCGTTGCGGGACATCCTCTCGTGGAGAGTCCTGGGGTTACTTCTGATGGGCCGAGGGTTAGCTACCCAAGGTCATCGGCGAGGAGCCTGGACGCGAGCTACGAGCCCATAAACTCAAAAGATAAAGTGAGATGGAAGAATGACGAATAAGGAAACCTACTGGGTTTGATACTTGAGTGCTTACATGTTGTTATGCACATTTCATGTGTGACCACAATTTATGTGTGGTGTATTCAACGTTTGTATCTGTTTATGACTAGTTAAGACTCTTTTTATGTTTTAGTGGATGAAATGGTGACTTACTAAGCATTATTGCTTACGAGAATTCTATTCTCTTATGTTCTCATGTATAAGTAATAAATGAAATACGGAAGCCTCAGAGAGCGCGTGGAGCTGGTGACAAGGTTTTGGATGGGTTAACGGAGAATATCTGGCTATCTGTTATATTTTGTTTTTAGTACTTTGGTAATTCTAAGGGTTGTTAAATGTTTTGAAATCCTGATCAGGTATAATGGTTTTTAAAGACGTCTTCTTTTGGTTACTCTTCGAGATCATTGTGAGGTTTGGTTATGTTTAAAGAAATAGAGTCTCATCTCGAGGCTTTGTATCTTTCCTTCAACTTTGTATATCGAGTCTTGCTTATATTTTAGTTTTGTAATGGTCATTTCCCGAGTGTATTTGGGGAAGATCGTTACAATGTCATTATTTTTGCCTTGTAGTTAAGCCGATCCTAGCCAAATATTTCATGTTTGTCTAACACAGTGAGACGTACGCTAAAATCAGGATTGCGAGTTTGTCAACAGGTTGTTAAGACTCGTCCGATTGTTTTTTATATGTAGACCTAATTATATGAAACTTTATGGGAGATTTCAACAAATAGGAGCAAAACGTACGGATTTTCCAAAACTAAGACCGCATATTCGCGTAAGACTCAACTACACATGCATTGACCACAATACCCTTACTTTTAGGAAATGTCAGACATTAAATAGACAATAAGTAGACAATAAGTAGACAATAAATTTCCCCTTACCCTCCCATCCATGCCGCCAGCGTCACAGTGACAGAGCCATCCCCGGTGGTCACCGCCAGTCAGCACCACCAGCCACTCGCCCTCACCCCCAATATCCAGCCACCCCGCCCTCACCCCCAACATCCAGCCCCCAGCCCTACTCCCCTGTCCCCAGCCCTCCTCCCATGCTCCCCTTCCCCAAATCGGACCCAATCATTCCCCAAATCGGACCCAATCGTTCCCCAAATCCGGCACCGGCAGAGGCGTCTGGCAACGACAGCGACGAGGTCCGTTAACGGCGGCGGCGTCTGGCAACGGCAGCATTTAAAGGTACACCTGCTACCCTGCTCCTGCAGCCATCTTCTGCTCAGCACTCGGCCTTCGTCGCCGCCGCCACCGCTTGATGTCGCCGTCGCAGGCGGTGTCTTCACAGCGGTGGTAGAAACCGTCGTGGATTCTTCGCTTCCCGAGATGGCCGCCGCCTCACCAATGGTGCTGGTACAAAGCACCGCAAGGAGCAGCAAGATGATCCCCGCGGCCACTTTGGATAATGTCGCTGCCTTTTTTTGGCCTGAAGGGGCAAATTTGGAAAGTTAGAAATAAGTTTCCTAATCTAGAACTAAATAAGTAATATGAATGGAAAAAACATTAGCAGGTATTATTTTTGTAAAAGAGCTATGATTTTGTCCTACTAGGAGCAAATTTCTCAAACTTTATTGAGTACATGGCCTTATGTGATGATTTCATAATAGTAGAAGACCTCATTTGACCATTTTCTCAATACGTTTCATGGTTAAAATATGAGAAATTACCCAAAATAGGACTAAAATCGTTTGTATATTCCGAAATAGGACTATCATATTTTTATTCCCAAAATAGGACTAATTACTACCGTGTTTTGGTAGTACCAGACTTTAAACATGACAATATTTTTCAAACTTGGCAGTAATTAGTCCTATTTTGGAAATAAAAATATGGCAGTCCAATTTTGGAATTTTCAAACTTTTTTACTCCTATTTGAGGAAGTTTCCTTTAAAATATTGCACAATAGTATTATTTAACCTCACAATTGAAGAAATGTAATTTTTTCAACAACAAAAAACTAACAAAAAGAGTTAAGGGTAAAAAATATCATATAAAACACAATGTATAAACTATTGCGTCAATTATACATGTATTTTTACATTGGTGTAATTCATAAGAATAATCCCTACTTTTAGGGATTCTAAATAATAATCCATACTCAGTGTGTCACAAAAATAATCCAAACTAGTATTGGTGTTCATAAAAATAAACTGGCCTTGGGGTGATTTAGTTAGAGCAATTTCTAACTAAAACTCGTTCAAAATCAACATCATTTCCTCCAGATGTGGTTCTTTCTAGGTTGGAACATAAAAGTATGGAATAAAGACACAAATATTACTATTAGCTTTGTGAAATACAAAAAATCACTACTTTTCCCTTTTTCCACAAATATGACTTATCCGGCCCATCCAGATCTACGTTTCTTCTCTTCCCCCATCCAGATCCGTTTCTCTCTTCTCCACTGGGACTCTTCTCCACCGTTCCCAACTTCTGTATGCACGTAGATCCGAAGATGGCGGTGAGATGGGGATGAAATCTACATCGAGATGGCGACGGAACTCTTCAGAGACGCTGCATCGCACCTGGGATGACAGAGTCCGCGCCGCACCGAGCTCCAACGATGGTGGTGAGCCATTAACGGCGACTTCAACATCGACGTACAGTTCTTCTCCTTGCTCTAGGTTGCTCACGACATCCTCTATTTCCGATTCAAGGCTGCGGAGGCTCAATTTCATATATGAGATGAAGTCAGACGGCGAAGGTGGTCCGCTGTAGGGTTTCCAAGTCGAGGCTGGGCAGACGCCGCCCGAGGCGCCGACTAATTTAGCTGGGTTGCAGATTGCCAGATCTGATCGGACTGTGGTGGACTTGGGCTGGGAGGAGTGGATCGAGGTTGGTTGGGGTATTTGGTGAGCGGTAACATGTGGCGGCTGAAGGGTCGGAGTTGGTCGGCGGCGGAGCGGGACCAGGTTGGGTGATAGTGAGAGGGGGCTGGGGAGGGGGCTGGGAAGGTGGCTTAGAGGTGGGAGGGGGCTGTGCTGGGGCTAGGTAGCCGTGTCGGGGTGGTCGGCGGCAGTGGCGGTGGCCGGCGGTGGTTGGGAGTGGTGGCCGGAATAACACTGGCCGGAGTAATTATTGTGTGTCAATGCGGAAATGTCACTGCGAAGATGTCAATGCGGCGGCATCACAGTAGACGGTGTAACTATGGCGGCCAACAGTGGTGGCCGGTGGTCATTGTAGCGGGTGTTACTGTGGCGGTGGTTGCGGGCGGTGGTGGCAGTGACGGAAGAGTGTGGCAAGAGTTTGGCGGCGTCAATCACCAAACATGATGGGGCGGCAATGGGACGGATGGCGGAAATTTCACGACTAGCGGGCGTTAATCACTGAACGACATGTAACTATAACCAGAGAAATGTAATTAGTGAAAAAATGTAATTGGCACTAATATAATTGTAAATAATGTAATTATAATGTTAGTCACTATGATCACTTTTGGCATGTAACTGAGTGATATAATTAATTATACAAGTAACTGTGACTTTCGTCACTGTAGAATTGTCACAGTAGCACATTTTTGTAGCATGTTACTGTAGCGAGTCACATTTTCGGAAATTTTAAAAATGGTCATTTTTTTGGAAATGAGTTCATTTTACGTAATATTGGTGTCCTTATCCCTAAAAGTATTACCCGAGACAAAACGTGGTGAATGAGAAATTGGAGGTAGGGTTGTGAGTATTAAGTGGGCATTAGTTTGAATTCTTTCCAATTCATTCTTTTGTACATTATTGCAAGTACGAATTATTTTTATGAACACTCTCAGTAAGGATTATTATTATAAAATCCATAAAAGTAAGAATTATTTTTGTGGATTTCGCCTTTTACATTTTATTTTCATATTTTTGGGCTTTCCCCTGAACACGCCTGAACAAAGTGTGTCTGTCCCTGATTACAGGCACTTCCCACACACAAGCGTCGTGCTCGGGTGTTAATTATTACTATCCCGTCCCAACTTACTTAGCCAAACTTGACTTTTCAAGTCAACGGCTTCTAACTTTGACCAATTATTTAAACTAATATATTTATGCAAAATTTAATAATTTTATACTTTTATATATAATAGTGTTTTTAACAAAGAACATTTTCATATCATTTTCATATTATCAATACTTTCTCTATATAAACATATAATCGATCAAAGTTAGATGTTAATGACTTGAAAAGTCAAGTTGGGGTAAGTAAATTGGGACGGATGGAGTACGTGATTTTTTCTAAATCAATATTACAGGTGTATGAATAGTTAGAAGGTTATTATACTGATAAGAATGGCTAGCATTTCACAATTAAGGCACATACTTGATTAGGTACTAAAGATACTATATCATTTAAAGTAATCATTAATAAAGAAAACACACAACGCAAAATCGCTAAATGAAGTTTATAACTTTATTATTAATTAATGAGTATAAAATATTCAAGCAAAAAACATAGTTTATGAATGTGTGAAGGCATATATTAGGTAAAAAGATGGAATTTGTAAAATTTGATTTAGTGGACGCGAATATATATTGATGATTGGATGGATGGGGTGAATGGGTAGGAGGCAGAGGGAGGGGATGCTTGGAAGGGAGACGAGAGGGGATGGGGCATCAATAATTAGCTATTTGAACTCTCCACCACGCACCAGATAGCCATTGGCTTATATGTATATATATATATATATAAGTAACAATGAATTATTGTTGAATGAGTAGTTTAATTTATTGCTTGAATTGGTAGGTAAGAATCCAAATTAGATGAACGCAATGGCGAAGCACAGATCAGCTGATCTACTTTCCGTACTCCTTCTGGTCATCATTCTGCAGGGCAGCTGTGTGGCAAGCAGAACCATCTTAACTTTCATCGGGGATCACGGGGGAGCAGGCCTTGGCTCCGATGTCGGAGTGGGAGTGGGTGCGGACGTGGGTGCTAAGGTGGGCCTCGGAGGGCGGCTTGGTGGGGACGTTCAGGGTGCAGCCGGTGATCATGCGGCCGCCGACGGATTAGGCCATGGCGGAGCAGATGCTGGAGCTGGAGCTGGCGTGGGCGCCGGGGTCAATGTAGGGGCCCGGGTTAATGCTGGAGCGCGGGGAGGATTACACGGCGGTGGGGGAGCTAGTCATGCGGCCGGCCATGGACACGATAATGCCGCCGGCGCAGACGAAGCATGCTATAATTGTGTAGTTAATAATAATAATAGTGGTCCAAGAGGGAAGGATGGATCGTCGTCCTCATCCACCGCAAGTCGACGTCACGGAAAGCAATCAACTAGTGTTGATCATAGCGCAGGAGGCGGATCCACAAGTGCAGCAGAGGAAAATGTAAGAACTTCAACGAGTTCCGGAGGTGGTAGTGGATCCAGAGGAAGCGCAGGAGGAAGAGGAAGTGCCTCCTCGTCTTCCCATGGCGGCAGATACAGCAGTAGTGCAGGAGGAAGTGGAAGTGCCTCATCTTCCGATGGCGAGGGAGAAGCCTCTTCTTCGGGTGGCAAAGGAGGATCGAGAAGTGGCAGCAACGGAAGTGCCTCGTCTTCTGGAGGAGGGAGTGGAAGTGCCTCAACTTCCGGCAGTAGTGCAGGAGAAAGTGGAAGTGCCTCTTCTTCGGGTGGAGGATCGAGAAGTGGCGTCAGTGGAAGTGCCTCGTCTTCTGGCGGCAATGCCGCAGGAGGGAGTGGAAGTGCCTCAACTTCCGGCGGTAGTACAGGAGGAAGTGGAAGTGCCTCTTCTTCGGGTGGAGGATCGAGAAGTGGCGGCAGTGGAAATGCCTCGTCTTCCGGTGGCAATGCAGGAGGGAGTGGAAGTGCCTCAACTTCCGGCGATAGTGCAGGAGGAAGTGGAAGTGCCTCTTCTTCGAATGGAGGATCGAGAAGTGGCGGTAGTGGAAGTGCGTCGTCTTCCGGTGGCAATGCAGGAGGGAGTGGAAGTGCCTCATCTTCCGGCAGTAGTGCAGGAGAAAGTGAAAGTGCCTCTTCTTCGGGTGGAGGATCGAGAAGTGGCGTCAGTGGAAGTGCCTCGTCTTCCGGCGGCAATGCAGGAGGGAGTGGAAGTGCCTCATCTTCCGGCGGTAGTGCAGAAGGAAGTGGAAGTGGCTCGTCTTCCGGTGGAGGGAGAAGTCAAATTTCAAGTACTGATGCTGCCTCTTCTGAGGCTGCAGACAACAATGGGGAAGTTTCCAGCGGATCAGCCGGCGGAGGAAGAAGTGGAAGTGGAAGTTCTTCGACTGCTACTAACGGAAGTGATGGCTCTTCAAATTCAGTTGGCGGAGCTTCGTCCCACTCAGATAGAAGCCGCAGTCCTAGGGGAGGCGGAGGCGCTGATGCCGGCGTTGATGGAGGTGTATCGGTAGGGGGTGGAGTTAACATGGGTGTAGGCGCGGGGCTCGGTGGCGGAGGGGGTTTAGGAGGAGATGGAGGGGTGGATGGCGGTGATGGAGTAGGAGGGGCCGGTGCGGGAGTGGGTGGGGATGCGGGTGTGGGTGCCGGTGCTAACGTCTTTCTGGGGGGAGGTGTCCACGGCAACGGCTTTGTCGGGGGTGAAGGTGACGGCGAACTCGGCCACTCCACCACCCCTTGATCAATCCACTTATACTTAGTTTTGGTGCTCACACTATTAGCAACAATCGCTCCCTTAATCCAAAAGAAAGCAGAGAGAGAGGAGTATTTCATTAGTTCCATAATTATTTGCCTTTTTTCCATCTTCCCCTGACGGAATTAATAATACAATGTACATATAAATAGAATAATAAATAAATACCGGTAACCCAACCATAGAGTTGTGTGATTCACAAATTCCATTTAATGAAAGGAATTATTATTTCAATTTGGAGTAAAGCAAAAAACTCTAAAATACAGTTAAATATGTTTTCTTTTTAAAGTCGAGTTTATATTGTCCCATTAAAAAATTATAGAGCAAAAATGCCTCTAAATAGAAATGCACAAGTCCTGTTTTGAAAGGAAAATTATGTGATATTCGTAGAAAATATTGGCTATGTTTTACTTCTATTTATTTACACTTCCTCATTTATTTACTCATTACTTATTAATTATCTTTGTTTTCTATTGATCCTCTTACTCATTGTAATCTCTCTTTTTCTTAATAAATTGGTGAACTCCATTAGAGTTTGGCTCCTTGAGAGGTTAAAAAAACCATCTTTCTTTTCTAGCCATATATAATTGTAGTAAACTTTTGGTTGCTATTGTTATTTATATTATTGTTATTCTCTTACATGTGCAGAGTACCCTTTAGAAATTAGAAATTACAATTTGAGGTATATATATTGAGGTTATCAATCAATTATTTAATGGACTGGTCGAATACTTACTCCTAACACGTTTAGAGAAATTGACTTAAAATAAGATTAAGATATGGTAAATGTTCAAAAAAGGACTGACTTTTCTGTATCATCTTGTCTGAGTAAAAGTGTCATTTTCTAAACAAAATGGCTTGCGTAATATAGAAAAAATGTCATATTAAAATAAGATAACCATCGTGATTTTTATTCTATCCCGAATTGTTGGAACCCAAAAATCAGCAATATAGATGATGAAATATCCATTGATAATGATCGAGCGATTGTACAACAATGAATAGCTCTGTACTCTCACTCTCTTGCACGTATGCCCTAATGCGGTAAATGTTTGTATACCTGGGTTTTTGTGCATCAGTCAGTTCACAATCGTGGGTTCAAACTTTTGTTTGAGGCCCTTAATACATTTTGAGCTCATTACAAGCATTCTACTAGCCCTATAATAGGAAAGTAATTTATTACAAAGCAGAAAAAAGACGATTGACCACATCTAAAAATATCTTCTAACATTCTCCCCATTTGTGATTAATTGCGTTGTAGCTCTTATTCATCTCTGCTTCTTGAAGTAGTTTCTACTCAGTGCCAGGGCATGCTCATAATGCCGCAACGATTGTCGCTTGTCAAGTTGTTTATTGATAGCACCTAGCACTTTGGTTATCCTTTCATGTTCTATGAGCTCTTCTTTAGTAGCATCTTGAAACTTGATCCTGATTTGTTCCTCCTTTGGTTGCAGTAGATCTCGAATGATCTTCAGAGTTCCATAACATAATTTAGCAACCTCACTTAGCAGCATTACGCGCTTTTTTTCCTCATGTTCAAGTAGACTATCCCGATATCAGGCTCATCAAAAATATGGAGAGGAGGACACTTATCAAGTTCTGGTCGGGATAGTCTTGAATTGGCTTCGTGAGATTTGCTTTTGAAACGTTGTTTTCGAGGGCCATTTGAAGATCATGAGTGTCGTGATGATGTGAGTTTTCTCGCACTTAAAATAATGTAGCAGTATATGGTAGAAGTACGAATATCGTCTCCACAGAGACGAAAAACAGAATTAAGTGTCAGATAGTTTCAACGATTAAAACAAAAAAAATAAATACGATGATGTGCGAGATTTGATTTCTAGAAAATAAAAAATGCGAATAAAAAGCTTAATTAAATGAGTCTTTCTAATGAATGACAGGTGAGAAGCAGAGATTGATTCCAGGGGCAATCATATTTCGGGACTGATCAGACTTAATCACATGAAAATTATTTAGTTTTTACCACTCTCGCGACGCTGAGTACAATAATTTAGAGAACCAGGTTGATTTCTCATTAGTTTCTAAACTATTTCCAAAACAAGCAAGCATACAGCTCCTTAATTGTTGTCAATCTCTTAGTGAACGATTAGGTGTCTATGTGTGTAAGTGTCTTAGAATACCTCTCTTAAATCATTCTATGTGTAATTACAATCCTAGTGATCATTCCAGGTTATAAAAGATATCAATTAAATTATTCAAACACAATTAAATGATAATCATGCATTTTAACCCTAAAGAACGAACCCTAGACCATGATTAACACCCCCTACATCCACTACTAGAAAATTCATTAATTGATGCGGTTGTTTTGACATATTTGGTGCGGTTATGAACCGCAGCAATAGCCAGAGCAGCAAAAGTACAAAATTGCTATTTGCTGCGGTCACACCCGCAGCAAATAAGGGGCGATTTTTTTTAAAAAAACACTTATTGCTGCGGTTCCTCTACGACCGCAGCAAATAAGGAGTGATTTTTTTTAAAACCACTTATTGCTGTGGTTGCTCCACGACCGCAGCAATAAGTATTTAATTAAAAAAATCCAGCCATTTACACAATATTTTTTCTAAATTGACAATTTTTCAGATTCAACAAACACACACCTTCACAGAAAATCTGTAATTATAACTAAACTAACAATCCAAAAAAGAAAAACATGATCCACATTCAATACAACAAAAACATAATCCACATTCAATACAACAAAAATGATATTGTTAATGCATTCTTCACACAATATACTTTTTACAACAAATTAACATGCACATATATCGCCCATCTATCCCGGATCTCATCGATTTCTACCATTGAAAATGCCTCATCTCTTAAGGTGCTTGTGTACACCTACAAATATTAAGCAACTATAATTAGTACAATATTCTTTTTGTCTTCTCAATGTATATGTAGTCATTCACATATTGATACTTAGCAAATATAGTAAGAAGCAGTTAAATAAATCGTTAATGGATGGGGGCAGTCAATACGTTCATCGTTCAGTCCACTGTTTTAAACTTTAAAACGGATAGCCCTAATGGATTTAGTTCAACTTTAGATAGACAAATGGATAAATTGACCCTTTCGGTGCCCCTAAATATAACTAAGACTACTTTTTATTTAAATATATCTGCTCCGGATCTTGGCCTTCACCGATGCTTCTAACCATATCATACATGAATTTCATTACATAAAATCCACATTCCAAGCCGCCCGTTTGTTTTGCGCACTGAAATGTCAAATTATACACATAACATATTCGTGTATTCATAATGTTCACTACCAACTTAAAAGAATTAAAAATTTTTATAAAATATTTAACAAAAGTATGTATATACTTATAGCTTCATCTATTTCCAAATAATCTTTTTCATATTTTCACCATTCGCGCAAATATTTCTAAAAACACTATTACAAAACATTCAAAGTTAGAACCACATAGTTTTGAAATTATAAGATAATACAATAACAATTCTCATGATGTGAAAAAATACTATAAAAGTACCTGCTGCACAATGACATGATTAATAAACGACGCATCAGGCTGGTTCGAAGAGAATCATACATAAAGATCATGCCGCGTGAGATCCAAATCACAAGCAACACCCAATGATAACTGCACGATTAATTAGTGATGTACATTGTGTTATATATAGCTAGAAAATCAAATTGGTATATCATTGATATTATAAATATAATAAATCAACTTTTTTTTTAACCCGGAAGGTAAACCACCAAAATCAGTGGGGTAAATGCCGGGGAACATTTACCGTGTTTTATTAATGAAAAGAGAGGGTACAAAAAAGAGGGGGGGACAAGACCAAAACCCCTCCAAAGGAGGCATACCTCCTAAAAAAAACAGGATCGAAAATCATAAAAAAAAACATTGGGGGGACTAGGCCTGACCCAAAGCTAAAACTTATTAAGATAAATATATTAAAGTAGGAATTCCAAACAGATCCGAATAAAAAGCCTTACGAGCCTGATCCGGCAAATCAGAAGCCCTGGAAAATAATACAAATTGGGCCGAACAGAGATCGGCCAAAAAATGTGCCGCCCAGTTTCCTTTTCTCAAAACATGTCCGAAAACCACCCCCCTTCTTTTCGCTTGAAGCACAGTTTCCTGAAAAGAACCTCTCCATCTTCCCACACTTCCGTCTGAGATGTACTTCAAAGCCACAGCTGCGTCCATTTCAACCTGAAAATTGGAGTAGCCAGCATCAAGCGCCCGTTCTGTAGCGTAAAGAACTGACGCGAGTTCAGCTTCCAATGACGAGGATGCTTTGAGAGGGAAGGATAACGCGAAGACCAGCTCTCCTTCCTTGTTCTTCATAACAGCTCCACCCGCAGCACAATTAGGTAAGAATTTTGCATCTGAGTTAAGCTTAAGCTGTTGTTGAGGCCGTTTCCATCTATCTGCCTTGAAGTATACTCCTTGAAGCTTAAAGTTAGGAGGAATCATCTTCTCTTCAAATAACACACTACCAATTGAATTAAATTTCAAACCAGATAAACTAATTACCCAGTTTTGAGTAAATAGTTTGATTTGAAAAATTAATTGATCCGCTGAAGGTCTTTTATCACCAGAGCCCCAAATGATTTTTGAATACTCCCTCCACAGATGCCAACAAATAATACCAGGTAGGTTATGTTTGAATAAATCTGTGAGTTTTTTACTCCCTGCCTTAAACCACCAGGTCATGAGAACTTGTCTAATAGAATGAATATGATTGTGGAGAGGAATCTCGAAAATACCCATGAAATAACTCCATATTTGTTTAGCCACTTGACAATCAAAAAATAAATGATTGACAGAGTCTTCATCTTGCCTACACATAGGGCATATAGAAGGATAGATGACAGAACTAAATCTGCTCAAATTATATGTCATAGGCAAGATCCCTTTTAAAATTTTCCATTGAAGTAATTTGATATGTAGGGGCTGTTTAGGATGCCAAGCATGCTTGAAAGAGAAGGTGGGATAAAGTTCAGCCCTAACCATGTTGTATGCAGATTTCAAGGTAAATATTCCATCCTCCTCAGGTAACCACCTCACACTGCCATCAACATTCACTTGACACATCTCAGAAGCAATGGTATTAATATCACAAATCCTTCTCCAAATAGGAGAATCATTTATCTTAACATTCATATTTAGATCTCTAGGATATCTGGCCTTAA